CCAAGACATTATAATTAAAATGGCAAAAGTTAAAAAAAAGAGAGAGATTCTTAAAGTAAGTAATAAAGTAAGTAAGTAAGAAAATTAATTAATTAATTAATTTTAAAAATCATATCAAATAATAAAATAAAATACCTAGGAATATACATAACCAAGGAGATGGAAGACTTATACTCTGAAAACTACAAAGCACTGATGAAGGAAACTGAAAATGATTCAAAGAAATAGAGAGATATTCTGTGCTCTTGGAGTGGAAGAATTAATAATATTAAAATGGCCATCCAACCCAAAACAATCTACAGATTTAATGCAATCCCTATCAAAATACCCATGACATTTTTCACAGAACTAGAACAAATAATCCTAAAACTTATATGGAACCACAAAATACCCCAAATTGCCAAATCAGTCCCGAGGAAAAAGAACAAAGCTGGCCATATAACCCTCCCAGACTTCAGACTATATTACAAAGCTACAATAATCAAAACAGTATGATATTGTCTCAAAAACAGACACATAGATCAATGGAACAGAATAAAGAGCTGAAAATAAACCCACATACCTATGGTCAATTAATCTACAACAAAGGAGGCAAGAATACACAAGGGGAAAAGACAGCCTCTTCAATAAATGGTGTTGAGAAAACTGAGCAGCTCCACACATAAAGGATGAAACTGGCCACTTTCTTATACCACATATAAAAATTAACTCAAAATAGATTAAAGACTTAAATGTAAGACCTGAAATCACAAAACTCCTCAAAGAAAACAAAGAGAGTATACTCCTGACATCAGTCTTAGCAATATTTTTTGATGTCTCCTCAGCCAAGGGAAGCAAAAGCAAAAATAAACAAATGAGACTACATCAAATTAAGAGGCTTTGCACAACAAAGGAAACCACCAACAAAAAAGGAAACCACCAACAAAACAAAAAGGCTGTCTGAACGAAAGGAAATATTTGCAAACAATATATCTAATAAGGATTTGATATCCAAAATATAGTAAGCACTCATACAACTTAGTATTAAAAAAAAAACCTGATTGAAAAAATGGGCCAGTGACCTGAACAGGCATTTTCCCAAAGACATACAGATGTCCAACAAGCACATGAAAAGATCCTCAACATCACTAATCATTAGGGAAATGCAAATCAAAACCACAATGAGATATCACCTCACACCTGCCAGAATGGCTATCATAAAAAAGAAAACGAATAAAAAAGTGTTGACCAGGATGTGGAAAAAAGGGAACCCTTGTGCACTATTAGTGGGAATGTAAATTGACTCAGCTACTGTGGAAAACAGTGGAGATTCTTCAAATAATTAAAAACAGAACTACCGTACAATCCAGCAATTCCACTTCTGCATTTTTATCCAAAGAAAATGAAAACATGAATTCAAAAAGATACACATATTTCTATTTTCATTGCAGCACTATTTACAATAGCAAGATATGGAAACAACCAGGTGTCCATTGATAGATGAACAGATAAAGAAGACTAAGGAAATGTGATACACACACACACACACAAAAATTATATTACCCAGTATAAAAAAGAATGAATTCTTGCCATTTGTAGCAACATGGATGAAACTGCACGGTGTTATGCTAAGTTAAATAAGACAGACAGAGAAAAACAAATCCTGTATGATTTCATTTATATGTAGAATCTAAAGAACAAAACAAATGAACAAACAAAACAGAAACAGATTCGCAGTTAGAGAGAATAAAATGGTAGTCGCTAGTGGGAAGAGGGTGGGGGAACAGATGAAATAGGTGAAGCGGATTAAGAGATACAAACTTCCTGCTATAAAATAAGTAAGTCAAGGAGGTACAATGTACAGCATAGGGAATCTAGCCAATAATATTGTAACAACTTTGTATGGTGACAGGTAGTAACTGGAATTACTGTGATGATCATTTCATAATACATAAAAATATCACATCACTATGTTGTATACCTGAAACTAATATAACGGTGTGTGTTAACTATATTTCAATTTTAAATAAATCAATAAAGTGGGGGAGAAGACCAAAAACATGAGGAGGAGGTAGCCTTTGAAAGAAGGGTGATTGGTTTAGTCGGCACAGTAGGAATAAAAGCCCAGATGTGGGAGGTAGTCTTGACAGGTACTGTCCCAGTGAGAACACTGCTTTCCTCTCTGGAAAGATCTTAACCTAAGATAAGTGCCTTCCATTCAGCCCAATCATCATTCCACCAGCCCCTGGCTATGCTTCAGTCTTGTCATCCTCTGCCTGGGTTCCCTACCCTAGCCTCAGTCTCCTCATTGAAGAGGGTTGTATCAGGGTTCAATCAGGGGGCCTGAACCACTACGACAGATATGATAGGTAGATAGACAGACAGACAGGAATTTGACCTTATACGGTTGGTGGAGTCACTAAGCAGTCCCTAAGACTGTTGTCTTAGTGTCTGATGCTGGCATTCAAAATGCACAGGAATGGCAGTAAGGGAGGAAAGACAGATGGAAAGCAAGGGGGAAGCTAGGATGAGCTGGAACAAGCTTGCCCCTGGCTTTGCCGTTGTGAGCATGCACAGAAGCTGGTATCCTTCATCATGGAGCTAAACACACACCTGGCCCAGGAGTTGAAGAAGTTGAAGGAAGATCCAGGAGAAGGGGAAACAGTTGCTGGCTTGGCTGCTGCCCTATGTAAAGACAATGAACGAGCAGCCAGCCAGTGATAACCTGTGTGATCTACAAAATGGCAACTGCCTCACTTCTGCCCTCCAAATCTTCCCCAAGAGTCTCTTGGCCCATCCTAATTGGACGCATACAGAGAAGGTAATTCTAAAATATAGTTCATTCAGCCTAGTCAAGCCAACACATTACAAAGCCACCATACAGAGACTGGAGGAGAGTGGGGAGAAGATGGTTAGTGGTTGCTGGGGAGATGGTCACATGACCATCTTTGGGTATCATGTGGGGATGTGTTTAATAACCCCTGGGCGGCTTTTTTTAGAGTTGGAGGGAAACCGCTGGTAGTTATCTCTTACATGGCTTTAATTCGTCATCCAAAACATACAGAATGCTTTTATATTTATATGTAATTACTTAGCTGGAGTCAAGTGCATCTGACTAATTGTCATTAGGTTATGGTTATAGATATTATTAAACAATATTCCAGCTTTCAGCCAATAATTTTTTAAAATAGACTTTATTTTTTGTGAGCAGTTTTATGCTTAGGGAAAAATCACACAAAAAATTAAGTTCCTATATACATCCCCTCCCTCCACACACATTTTCCTCTATTATTACCATCTTGCAGGAGTATGGTACCTCTGTTACAATTGATGACCAACAGTGAAACATTATTCCTAACTAGAATCCATGCCCTACATTAGGGCTCACTCTGTGTTGTACAATTCTATGGCTTTTTACAAATGTATAGGAAGACATATCCACCATTACAGTATCATACAAAACAGTTTCACCCTTCTAAAAAAAACACCCTCTGTGTTTCACCGTTTCACCCTTTTCCCCAACCCACCATGACCCCTTGGCAAATACTCATCTTTTTTACTGCTTTCTATAGTTTTGCCTTTCCCACAATGCCATATAGTTGTAATAATACAGCATACGGCCTTTTCAAATTGTCTTCCAAAGCAGCCTTATCATTCTGCATTTCCACCAGCAATGAATGAGAGTTCCTGGTGCTTCACATCATCAACACCATTTGGTGTTGACATTGTTTTGGGTTGCAGACATTTTAAGAGGTGTGTGCGTTGAGGTATCCCACTGTTGTTTAATTTGCAACTCCCTAATGACCTATGATGTTGAACAACTCTTCATATGCTTATTTGCCATCTATGTATCTTCTTCGGTGAGACATCTATTTGTAATTTTCGTTCATTTTTAAGTTACATTGTTCTCTTATGGTTGAGTTTTAAAAGTTCTTTGTATGTTTTGTGTATAAGTCAATAATCAGGTAAGTGTTTTGCAAATATTTACTCCCAGTCTGTGACTTGTCTTTTCATTCCTTTAATAGCCAATACTATCTAATGCCCCTTGAAAGGCTCAGAGACAGACGGCAAACATGTTGTCTAACTGATTTTCTTATATAGCAGAACAAAGGTCAGAAGGGTGCAGAAGTTTAAGAGAAATGGAAACTGTCGAAATATCAGGATCGTGGAGTAGCAGCTGCTAATCTTTCTTCCGGGAAGCCCACCTGGGTTACAGCAGCCCCTGGCAACTTCTTCTGCATCTCAGCCCTTATGAAGCATCTGAAGCTGAACTCAGCTTCTCCCTGAAATCTACTGTCTCAGTAGTGACCTCATGGTCCCCTTGTCCCTGGTCCGGAGACTCAGCTGACCTTGGGATGTCCCCTTGGCTCCTCACACCCATAGAGTCCCACATTGTATCAGCATCTCCCCCAAAGCTGTCCCTTCTCTTACTTCCCCATTTCAAGGTCTATTCCACCTAATCCCCAGCCTAGAGCCCTGGATCTCACCCCAGATACCCTCAAGTCAATCAATCTCATGACCCATCCAACCTCGTCTCTGCTCCACAGCCCTACAGTGGTCCAGCACTGTCCTCACCCTTCTCCTCCCCTCATTCTGCTCCATCCCCCTCCCTAGGTTCCCTGCTTTTGTCTCACGCCATCACCT